ATAAAACCAAAAAGTCAAACCTGACTGTTCTCATATCCTGAACTATTATCCTGGTCATTTGATCTATGTTATGTACCCCTAAGGATCAGGCTGTTACAGGTATGAGAAAGTGACTTACAGCAAGAGCTCAAGAGGCTTAAAACCGAGCAAAACAAAAACTATTTTCAATAAATTCTTTGGGTTGTTTAAAAGTGAATGTTGGAATTGCATCCAGTAACAAATTAGAAGAGAATGAGGAATGGATAACTCATTTCTAGTTGTTTTATTTTGGTTTTATGGATAATACCAAGTTACAGAAAGTATTATATATTGGTGCTGACTTCAGGGGAATTTAAAAGCTTCTCGGTTCTCAGTCCTATAAACCCTACCATGGAGCAAGCCTTTGATTTATAAATTCTTCAGATGACCTGAAATACAGCTTTCATTTCAGGTTAAATATAAAACTTTAATATTTAGACCATATAGCAACTCCTAAGTGGTTCTGTGGGGCCCAACAGAGGCGTTTTGAAAGTTACCCTGAAAGACCTCTGGTTCAGTGAGGTATTTGCTATGCAGCACGGGTGTTGTCTGTTTTTTGAAACACATTACGAGGTGGTTCTGCTTTTTACATGGGTTGTTTTCTGACTTTCCACGTTAAAAACAAACACAAAAGTCAACAATCCCCCAAGCTGACATATGTTGTACAGTACAAATATATGAGGGAAATATCTGTAGCCATAAACTGAGGTCAGGATCCCATTGTGTTCCGTGCTATGTGGGAACAAGGAGTCTTTGCCCAGAGGCTTTATGTTCTGCCCAGACAAGATAGCAAGGGAGAAGGCAAGTGGGAACAGAGGAGTCGCATTAGCCTTTGACTCTCCCATTTCCCTGATGGCATTTAAGGTGGTATTTAATGGTATTTAAGGACCAGAAGCATAAGAAGTAACTGGAGAGAGTCTCTAGCTACACTCGACTCATCTTTTACCAAGTGATCCTGCTCTTTGCAGCTCTGAGCGTAACTCCACTCCCACAGGATAGGCAGCAGCTTCTGCCTGAGTCAGGGATGATTCAAGAAAAGCACTCATCTTCTATAAAAAAATTATGGAGTTTGGGGCACTTGAAAATGTAAGTCACCCTGATGCATTTGTGCACACCGTGGTTGCATAAAGCAAAGGAAAGCTCTCCCGAGCGGTGCTCACTTGAGACACAAGCTGGTGCTCTGCTGGATGCTCTTTCTTTCCCTCGTCTCCTTATCGCTTGCATTTGGTGCAGATTGTACTCCACAAGGCAGCCACTATCTGCTCCCACGTGTCTGAGCACATCGCGCGCCATGAGCTCTGCACAACGGTGAGATAAACGTCGCCTCAGCCTTTCTCCCCAGTACTCAATATGCTGATGTGAGAGCAGAGTTTGTGCTCCCCGCTGCTGAAAGCTGAGCTACTTGCTGCAGCCTGTCGGGGCCTGGAGATGTGCCCAGTCTATCACAAGGTGATACAGAGGGGCATTGACGGCCCCAGCATCACTGCTCAGGTCGCTCTGTGCCCCATAGGGCCCCCTGCCACCTCTCTTCACCTTGTCCAGGGATAGAGGAGAGTCAATCCTAAGGAGGACACCGAGGGCGGACCAGAAAAGATGACGACAGGATGCTTTTATTTATAGTTTGACTAAACTGGCGAGAAAATGCTCTCAGGCTTGTGGAAGAGGAGAGAAATTGCACTCCTCCTTTTCAGGAACTTCTTGGGGCTTTGCAGGGAAGACTTCCTGCAGGACCGCATCCGTATCCGTGCTGAACGCAGTGCTCGGCAGCACTGCCCCTGGGGCATTCTCTGCAAAAGGCACTCCAAAGCAATATCACATGGAGGCTCCTTTAACTCCCGCTTCTTTTAATTTTTCAAGCAAATACAGTGAGCAAGCAGCACGGAGCTGCATTGGAGTACAGAGTGCCTGCATCCCTCTCTCCTCTGGAGAGCAAGAAAAATGACTCTAAATATCCTCTTTGGTTTGTGCCTGTTCCAGATGTGCTACCTGCCCTACCCGGGACTCCAAGAAACAGCTCCACATGCAGAGAGCTTCCCCAGAGCTTTAATGTATCTGTCCTCTGTCTGCATCACTATAGAGAAGTGGTTAAAATGGAGAGCTCTGCTCAGAAAATATTCATTTTGTATTCCCTTTCTTAATTCTTTTTTTTAACAAAAAGTGAAATTGTGTCTTAGTTCTCCCCAGTTTATTACAAGTGTATTGAGCACCTTCAGGCCAGAGTGAGGGAAAATCTGCTTTTAGCACAGACTGACAACATATTTTTGAACTTAATCTAGTTGCGAGGTTTGTACAAGATAATGATATGTGAAGGTGTATTCATATGCATGGGTGTGTATCTGTAACATTAACTTTCTTCCATTTTTACTTTTGGTATTTCACACATACAGGAGTAAATATTTATGTCACCGATAGAAATGCTAAAATTACAGAAATAAACTATGTCTGCTTAGCTTACGGATATGAATTAAGCCTTCTTACTGATAAGGACTCTGATTTTGTTTTACAGAAAAAAAAGTGATTTCTGGCCCAGTTTTACAGTCTAGCACTGTGAGCAAAGCCTCCGTTTCCTTCCTGTCTTGAAGGTAAATTATAGGACACCACATATGAGAGCCGCTTGTGCTTCCTTGGTTGTGCTGGAAGGCTCCTCCATATCTTATTTAAGCTCTATTAAGCGAACAGGGAGACGTCTTTGACTTCTGATTTAGAGCAGCCAGGTGGAGGGGGTTCCTCAGCTGCTTCCCTTGCACCGGGCGCTGACCTTCCTCGCTGCTCCTGCACCCAGCACAGCTGCGACACGTTGAGGAAACGGGGGTGGCTGACGCTTACTTGTGCTACAGCGGAAAGAGCCCTTGCAGAGGGTTTTTAAAAAGGGAAGTAACAAAAGAAGAAATATTTGCTCAAAGGATAAATGAACAGATGCTTCTTCAATCACTTTTACAGCACAGGGAGGAGAGATGCAGTGAAGCTCTTCTGGGAACTTTCTCACTTGGTGAAATGTTCCTTTTCCTTAGTTTTTTTGTTTGGTAAATGTATTCTTCTATTTTTAGTTTATGTTTTACTTTTATTACTCTGCAGATTTCTAATTTTTATTTTCCTAAATTGGAAAGCTAATTTTAAAAAACAAAGCGTCATTTACCTACATTGCGTCTAGAATTCTGCTCAAGGAATCTCAAAGAATATCTTGGTATAAAAATTACCTGCTGGCCATGTTGAGGGTAAACAGCACAATGTGGTCGGTGTGGATGATGCTGTGGTGGGACCCTCTGCTACAGCAGCAGCAGACCTGCAGTGTGCACAGGGGAAGTACCTGGGGCAATGCAACCCACCCTAGAAAGCAGCTTAATACATGTGTGTTGAAATGGGAGGATAAGTTTAAGATTCCTGGAGTTTGGTGATCTTGGCATCATTAATTTCAAACTGCATCTTTTCAAATTTGAGTTCTCGGTCTCTGTTAATTTGGAGTGTTTCAGTTTTGATCTGGCAAGCTTAATTATCTATAAATGTGCCAGCTTACTGCTTGAGAGCACGTTACTGATGTGCAAGAGTCCCGGTCCAGGAAAGCCAGCAGCAGTGCAAACCCAAAGGTTTAATTTGCAAGAAGGAGTGAGCACCCGTGGTGCCTCTGCATACTCGTGTGGCACGTCCTTTAATGAGTCCAGCCTTTCAGGACATATAACTTCAGCTTTGTCATTCACGTGTCCCCAGAAAGGAAGAAAGATGAATATACTACTTCAGCTGTACTGAGTTTTTAAGCAGAAAGTTTGTCATTTTGCCTGAATAGCCTGGAGTGTGTCCAATTCATGATAGTTTTGGGACATATTCATTCAGCTGTGAACACAGACTCCAAAGATATAACACAGTCGTATTGCCTTTTTGCTTAGTACTGGATATTAAAGACTTCAGACAACCCTAAAATGATGTATTCTGCTTTCCAGAGAGTGACCTGACTGTGCTTAGAAAAGTCTAAAGCAATTGCTCTATGTCATAGAGTAAAGCTTCTCTGCAATCTCATTAACACTGATATTAATCACCTGTATTACAGACACAATTTATACCTAGTAGTGTTTCTCTCCTTGTTTTTCTCATGTTTTTCTTCCACATTTTAATAGTTAATACTACTGGCCAGACGATCAGATACCAGTAAATTTGAGGGTTTTTTTTTTTTTGTCAGTTAAGTAGTTGTGACCATTAGAACACAGTGAGTGACATATTCTGGATTACAATTTTTACTGGAAAACTTCTGTACAACTTCAAGAACACTGCAAATATTTACAACTATTTTCATGAAGCTCCGTGGTCTGTAGCAATCTTCATGAACAGGACCATAGCTATAGCTGACTCAGCTTGGAATTGTTTAAATTCAACACAGTATTTTTAAATCTGCCTGTGTACTTTGCAAGGCTCCAGCTGGCACTGACCGCGATAACAGAGCGTGGCTGGCCTGAGCCCTAGGCTAGGTCGTGAAATGGAAAAGCCATGCCCAGTTTCACATCATTTTTCTTCCTTTGCTCCATGCTTGTGGCTAGGGGATCCTGCAGCCTGTGGGCTGGGGCAGTGTTGGGCACTGCCTGCTTGGCTGCTCCCACGTTCTGTGTAGTTTGTGCTCCACGGAATAACTGGTGCCTGGGTGTTGATTTTCTTTGTTCCTGGTGTTGGCTTGAAATTTAACTTCTCCTATTCCTCCCAGTTCCGTCCTTCTCACAGCAGCATGTTTTTCCATCTTTTGTGCAACGGCCACTTCAGAGGCTTGAGAAATGCCCAGCATGGACTGTTCATTCTTGCTGACTAACCTGTTCACAAGGTGTCCTCCCTTTTGGGGAAAACCCTTAGCAGACAAGTTGAGTTTTCATTCTTTTATTTGTTTCTTATTAACTTGCTTTTATGTATTATCTCATTCTGTTCACTCCTTCCTCTCTCATGCGCTGCTGTTCTCTCAGTTCTTCAGTTTGGAAATTCCCTGAAGCCCTGTGTGTTTTTGGCACATGACTGCAACCAAGAAGATGAAACTGGAAAAAGGTGAGTCTAATATTACTGTATTTAAAGCTCAAGAGTATCCTCCTGGAGGCTGCGGTCAAGTTTTTCTAAAGACCGCTTTTGCACCTTGTGTTTTTAATGCCTCATGTTTTCTTGTTCTTTGGGGTGTATGACCTTAAACAGCTTGTTTTTTTTCCAAAAAAGAGCTTTAGTGCAATGTGAGATCTGCAAGGGCTGATGTATGCTGGTGGATCTCCTGAGAACTGAAATGGGCTGCTCGATTTATTTATGACTTGGTTTTTTTCCAAAAAAGAGCTTTAGTCCAATGTGAGATCTGCAAGGGCTGATGCATGCTGGTGGATCTCCTGAGAGCTGAAATGGGCTGCTCGATTTATTTATGTCCAGGGAAGAGTTCCTCACTCCAGTTGCCTGTACATGCAAGGAGGGAGCTGCCGGTGGGCTGTAGCCAACACACAGCAATTGTCCCTGAGCTGAAGAACACCATTATGGTGATAGGGCTTGGGAATGAAATATTTTTTTTTGGAAAACTGCACAGCTGGCAGATTTGCATCAGAAAGATTGTTAGTCTTGGGGGGTTTATTTATTTATTTTTTATTAGAGGTACAATATTTCTCTGCTAAACTAGACTCAAGACTGTCTCAGTTAATAGCCCTTGTTAAAATAAATTAATACATGTATAATTCTCCCAACAATGCACATCAGTAATAGAGCAAGTTTTCACTTCATGCCCAGTATTTAAGCTATACTTCTTCTGGTTGCACTATTATGTTGTAAGTTCTAACAGATAGTTATTGCAGAAAACTATCTGTATAAAATACACTTGCACTTGATACAGGCTGTTTTATACGAAGCAATAAACAGTGAGAAAGGAGATCCACTCGACTTATTCTAGCCAGCAGCAAATGTATAGCTTGCACTTTCAGAAGTTGCTGATGTATCTCTTCACAACTTGTGTCAGGAATATATTTGCTTCATTGCTGTACTCATTAAAAATAAGCATCTGAGGTTTCACAGGGAATAATGACACAAAGACCAAGCGGATACAAAGAAATAAAAATATTAATTATGAAGGTAAGTCAGCAGGGTTTGGAGGGCTGCCAGATCACACAATGAGTTGTGGATGACTGTAACTCCAGGGGCTACTTTGTGGTGGGAAAATAAAATTAGCATAAGTATCCTAATAATTACTTTCCTTGTCTGTGAAATCAGATTGGCAAGTCCTGTGGGAGGACTTAGCTCCTTTAATGAGTCTCTGCCAAGGTGATGACTGCTGCGCCTGTTCTTGCTGATACAAATTTGAACTTTCAGGAGGATATTGTTGTCTGTCTTGGCTACTTTTTTGTCATCAAGAGAAAAAAAGAGAACATAAAATGTGCCTTTGTTTTCAGTTTAAGCAAAATAGGTTCTTTCAAGGATATGTTTGATGTCTTTGATTCAAATTCCTCCTAGTGAAAGATGACCTGCATGGTATATGGTCAAAGGCAACTGGAAGATACTGTTGACATTAATATTTTGTCACTAATATGAAATAAGGGTGAGTTTTGCAGTTCTTGGGGGTACCTTAAAAAGCATCGCTTGAGCCTTTGGTCTGTTTGTGTACCCATGGCAAACCCCAGCCATCTCGCTGTGGCTGGGTACCAATATGAGCCTCCATGAACACTGTGGCATATCCTGTTGTTGTTCAACATCCTGTTGCATTACTATATTGTGTCCTGAACTTTCCAATGTTAAACTCTTGACATCTGCTCAGGGTATCTTTGTCTTGAGGCTGGAGAGGCAGCTCTGAGGAACAAGCGCCCTGATGACATGGGTTTGGAAATGCACAAACCCGGCTGAGTGTGGAGAGATATTAAAAGGTGTCATTGAGCAAGGTCACTCCGATTTCTTCTCTTTCTGAAGGCCCATGAGGAGAGAAGGGGTCCCCTTCCCTCTATCACGTGGAGTGTGTTACCAGCTGATAAAGCCCCATGCCGAGGGACGCGTTTCAGCGCAAAGCTGCAGCGCTCTGATTCTCGCTGCAGGTCTATTTTGCAAAGCCCTGGGTCTGCTGTGGAGAGCAACATCCCACTGCTTCCTCACATGTCTGCTCTTCCATGCAATCCCTCTGCTCAGTGCCTCTCACCTCACAGCAACTCTCCTTTAAAAACTGACCCTGATTTTTGTAAGACCGAAAAATCTTATTTGGTAGAGCAAGTCTCTCTCAGTGCAAGTGGCACCCTGATATCTGAATATCGCAGATTTGGGAATGATTCATGTTAAGGGCCCCAGATATTATTTCAACTTTGAATTTAGCTTTATTTATTCATTTATTTTACTTCTAAGGTTTCATCTTCAAGGAGATGAGTACAGGAGATCCTGAAATGTGGCCATTTCTGCCCGAGGCTTGTTCTGCTGACTCTCCCCAGGCCTTGCTTTCTTTCTTCTGTTTTCTGGGCACTACACTTTTAGTTTTGTGGTTTAGCTCTTCCTCGGATAACTGCCGTGAGCTCCCAGCAGATAAAACCCACTTGTTTTGAGCCTCTAGGGCTTTTTCTTGTCCCTTGTCAAGACATCTTCTCACCCACTGCAACCTGCTGGCAGATGCTTCTCCTTGGATTATTCTGACTTCTCTGCCCTGATAGAAGTCTAAAAACTCAACAACTTCCCCCGCCTTATTTATTTATTTTTAAATCCACTTGCTTTCTGTCTCTTATTTCCCAGTGCCTCCTATTATTCTTTATTATTTCCCTTTCCTCTATGTATATGCATTTCCCTCCTGGGCCTCATCGTTCCTTGTGCCCCTCCACAGGCACCGCTGGTCAGGGAGCAGTCACGGGTTTGGGACCCTGTGTTGGCAAATGACTGGAGTCCCTTTCCGAAATCCAGGAGGAGAAGGCACAGCCTGGCCTCAGGCTGCAAAGGGGAGTGGGGAGAGGCAGTGGGAAGACCATCCTGCTCCGAGGGCAGGTGAGGGTGCTGGAAGTGATGATACTGGAAAAGTTGCCAGGATGACGCAGCAAAGCAAAAGGAGAGGAGAGCTGGGCTTTGGCGGGGGACACGAGGAGAGGGAACCTGAGGGAAACAAGGCTGATTTGCAGCATCCTCTGGCATCTGCGGCAGTGCCAGCTCTGCCAGCCCCGGTTGTGCTGTGCAGCCTGCGTGCTGCAAACATCGACATGCGTGTGCTTTCACCGTTTGTTTTCTCATTCCTAGAGGCAGCAAAACTATTTTAAATGGAGAAATAGATTTATTATTGTTTTTTATTATAATTTTAAGAAATTAAGGTAGGAAGGAAAATGTAACACATGCCAGCTTCCTGCAGGCACCATATCCCAAATCAACCATGAATTCTTAGGGCCTTGTCCGCTTACCTGCCACTGCGCCGATGAGCTCCGAGCAGCGCTGTGGGAGACTCCGGCCTTCTATCTTGCACTGAAGACACAAATGGTTGTTCGCAGAATGTTTGTTTTTCCAGGCTACTGGCAAAACTGTGCGTACAGTGGTGCCACTTGGCCTGTCGTGCTGCATTTATTGTTCATTTCTCTTACAAAGGAGACAAAAAAATGCTCCCTCTTTTTATTAGCTTCACATTTCCAGGCTCTGCTCTGATGGGTTATACTTGGTTGCACATTGCTGTATTTTTTCCCCTTTGAAACTTGGCTCTGTCTCTTGGGAAAAGTGCAGGGTTACTAGACCCATGGGGAACTGAGCATTGCTTTAGGGGACGCAAGTTTCTTCTGTGACCCTGCTGAGAGCACGGAGTGGGTATCTCACAGCACGCTGACGAGAACTCCAGGATCTAGTCCAAGAGCAGGACCTCGGCCCCGAGCCCATCATTTTTGTGCGATTGCTTGTGGTTTTGCCCCTTTTCCAGTGACCTTCCCTGAATTTCAGCTGCCATTTTAACACCCAGTCAGTGAGACTCAGGGGGTCCCTTTGCCCTTTTTCCGAGGTGGCTCTGCCAGCCAACAGTTTCTCTCTTCGCATCCCCTCTCCTGATGGTTTGTAAGTACCTGGGGTCCCAGCACTGATCCCCAGCCCTTTCTTTCCTACTTTTTAATCACTGCTTTATCTGAGCAAGGTCCTTTCCTCTTATGCCAGAACTGCTTTAGTGCCTTTGGGAAGAGATTTTGTCAAAAGCCCTTTTTTTCCCTTACGTTCTTGTCTATTGACTCCTTTAAACATCTCTGCGGAATCTGAGACATAACTTTCTTCCA